CTCAACTACACTCATCCTATCGATACGTTGTTTCTTGACCGCCTAACATTCTGTTCCATAAAGCATGGCCGGTCTTAACACAAGACATTTCAGACATAGAATGATAATCGATAAGGGTTCCTTATAGACACATACCTAAGCCCTTCTAAAAGCAAAATGTTCTGGGGATACAAAATAAATTGTGAATTTAGTTTAAATGAACATATCAAAGATATTGTTCACAAATAGCATATAATGACCAAAGATACCCCAATGCTTGCATGTTGTACTATGTGAGTATCAATACCACATTATATTGATATTGGCATCCTATGCTCCAAGGACACTTATATCACATGATATAATATGCACATAACGTGGTCATTAGTATGATACCATGATATATGTCAAAATGTTGTATTTAAAAGTGAAGTATATGGCATGCTAAACTCAATATGATACTTCTAAAATGTATTGGAAATTTCTTAAAATGTATATCTAAAACCTATATCTGAAATATAGCATGAATGCCATACTCTATGTACCACATGCCACATGCTGCATGCACACATGAATGTAGGGAAGCAATGAAGTGTACTATATAACCCAAAAGGAAAGTGAAAATACCATAGTCCATTGGGTCTTCACTTTCGATTGAAGATGCTGTAGCTGGCCTTTGGATCAAAATTCTTATTTTGCTCAAAGAAAAAAAAGGAAAAAAAAGAGAAGAAAAGAAAGTGTACCCTTACAACACGACATGATCCCAATAGTGGATTCTACTCTCTTATTCATCGTCCATCATTTCAATGGACAATTATGACACCATGAACTATGTTCTTGCCGTATTACATGGGATCACGGAATTTCGATTTGTTATGATACCTCTAGAATGTGATACAAAACATGTTAAAATGTAAAACATCAACATGAACATCGTCGTCATCATCATCATCCGAGCCTTAACCCAACTAGTTGGGGTTGGCTGCATGAATCTTGTTTCATCATTCCGCTTTATCAAGGACCATACCCTCAGTCAGACCATAAGCCATTATATCTTTTCCTACAACTTCTCCTTTAAGGCCTTCCCTTTGCCCTTTTAGAGCCTTACCCTTGAACCAAATCACCACATCTACCTTGTGTTGTTCTAGGTCAATGCTTTACATGACTGGACCACCTAAGTCTACTTTCCTTGAGCTAATCTTAAGTTCCCTTAAATGAATACATTTCCGAATTCTAGCATTCTTTTTCTTTCTACGCATCCATCTCAAGATCTTTATCCTAGCTATACTCAGTATTCTATGGGTATGTTGTTTATTGACTACCTAACATTCAGTCCCATAAAGCATGACTAGTTTTACAGCCGTCCTATAGAACTTCTCCTTCCGTTTCATTGGTATGCGATGTTCACATAAGACTTTGGAAGCACATATCCACATCGTCCACCAGCTCTAATTTTATAAGCAACATCTTCTTCAATCTCTCCTTCCTCATAGATTATCGACGCGAGAAATAAAAAATAATCTCTTTAAGGTACTTCTTAGCCATCAGCCTTAACTAATTTATCGTTTCTATTCCTATTATAGCTAAACTTGCACTCCATATATTCTGTCTTAGTTGGGCTAATTTTAGATATAGCAATAGTAAAATAATATATCTAAAGTTATGCTTTGCACAAGGTTGCAACCTTAAACAATAAAATTAAGGCGCACCTCCAAACTTTGTCATAAAATGCAACTTTGTTGTTGAAAATTCTTACGATGTCCCAAGAATCTATTTTCATCACTAATTATAAAATTTAAAAAATTCTAGACTCCAAAAATGGTTCAAATCAAGTAAATCTATAAACATATGAAAATCTTGAAAATGGATGGTCCAAGTATTACAAGATGTACTATTTTTGGGACTTAAAATATTTTATTTTTTCATATCCATACATCTCCCATATGACCAATTAAATGGTTTTCCAATATCAAAAACATTATTTTTTGATGTATTTTTGAGGTGCACCTTAATTGTAAAATTTAAGGCCTTAACTTTATATAAACGTTTTCTTATATCTAAAGTGACATGAATTCCATATTTTATGTGCCATGTTCCGTATGCTAATACACATGATTGAAGGGGAGTAATGAAGTATATTAATCAGATGGACTTCGGAAAAACAGTCCTTTGTATTAACACTGTATATTGAAAACGCACGGTGATGGAAAGTTTACCCCAACTGAAAAAGACATTGCCCCATTAGTGGGATCCACTCTCTTTCTGTCATCTTTGTCACTTCAATGGATAGTGATGACACAATGAACTATGGTGTTCTCATATTTCATTGGAATATTGTATACATTCCCATGATTATAAATATACGTTCCAACTTACAAAATAAGATGCTTGTATTCATACCTTTGTCCTTGATTTTTGGAAATTCTGGGGTGCATCCCTGATTCATATCCAAAACTGTAGTTAGTCATCTTAGATTACACTCAGTGAAAGCATTTTGACAAAAATAGGAATACGTGAAAGTACTTAGTTGTTCTCATTCATTATTCATCTTAAAACAGTAGAAAATTCAAAACTATGGATTGTCATTCACAATTTGTATTGCACACATTAAAGAGCCATGATAAAATGGTAACTGCAAAAAAAAAGCAAAAGAAAGATAAGCATTAGCACAAATCACCATTCTCAGTGGGAAATGCAGCACCATGCATGAACGTGTCGTAGCATAAACAAGTTCATAGTATACAATTAATTATAAGTTACGTGTATGATCTTTTTATGAAAATTCTTAAGATCCTGTTTGAATGATCCCTAAATTTGGTATTTTTGCAAATGGACAATTACGTCAACTTCATAAATTAGCTTTCATTTCACTAGCCATTGAGCCGTGTTTGCTGGGACCAGGCAGTAGATCCGCTTGTACTAAAAAAAAACCCTATTTTTTTATGCCTCCCAGAATTAGAAGAAATGTAATTCCCTTGGGGTTCCTTTTTTATGCCCCACCTCTCTATTTTGCCCACTTCTCTCTTTCTTTCTTCTACTTTCTCTCCCCTCTCACCTTCATCCATGCGAGCCAAACAGTCCACTGGGCGATACTATCAGAACCTCTATCTGGGGTTTCTGATGGAATTCCATATTGCATATTGCATATTTTCTGGTTAGCGTGCTGCCTTATGCAGACAAACAGTCCTTAAAGGAATCATCATGCTTGGGGTCCTGTCATTGCTCATCCTTATCCTCATGATCATCATCATTATCGCCCTATGACCATCAGTAAGAATGGAGTCAGCAGAACTATAGAGATTGAACACTTAAGAACTAATATTGAACTAGGAAGCTGACTTGAGGCTGACAAAAGAATGTCCTGGAGAAGCACATGGACTCTGGGAGAAGAAGCTTCAGCTCCAGTGCAGTGAAGAGTGTTTTTTCCTCAGTTATTGGAAAAGGTAGGGAAATGTCTGAAGGTTTGGGAATAGGAGTTGCCAGGATTGCCTCAAGGAACTATTGGTTTTGGGATTAGGAATGGTACCCATTACCCAAGAACGATGACCATACAACTAGCAGTGTCTTGCTATTGCATTCTACTTGCTTTCTCAGTTCTATTGCTCCATGAACGGGTGGAGATACATTTTGGGGTACAAGTTACATTGATTAATTTGATAAAACCAAGTTATAAAAATAAAACCAAGCTATAAAAAAAATGTTGACATCATCTGCAAATGAAGTTACCAAGGCATCAGCCATGAATGAAAGTTACCCATTTGTTAAAGACACAAGACTAGACTTAAGCTATAGTATAACTTATTGAACTTGGTAGTTTTTTGCATGGTTGCTTGGCACAAAGAAATATGCAATGAATAAATTGCATTTTGTTTTTGGTATTTCCATATTTTAATTTTATTGGTTTCTTTCTAACTACACCTCAAAAACTATCTTATTACCTTGTCAGTCTGAATTATGAAGCATTATGCTCCTTAAGATGGTCTTAGATAATCTATCCTCATTCACTTTTAGATGCCTGTTTTTACTTTTTTAGTCATTGGCTAAGAGAACAGGTTCCAATCAAGGTTGAAGTATCAGCATTGCTTTTTGTCATACTGAGTAATCTGGTCATGTTCATCTCACGCTTTTTTCCTGTAGGAATCAGTCCTGAAAGGTTTAGTTCAAATACCGACTTTTGGCAAGAGCAAGTTTACCATTATCGGAGGCTTATGGGTATCAACTACACAGACATAAGAAACATCATGGACATGAATGCTTACCTTGGTGGCTTTGCTGTTGCGCTAAATAAATTTCCAGTTTGGGTTATGAACATAGTACCGGTTGGCATGGAAAATACTTTGGTGGCCATCTACGATAGGGGTTTGATTGGTGCATACCAAGATTGGTGAGTTCTTGTGGTTTCATGGGTTTGCTTTTTGGGGTTGTTATAATTTCTAAAATAATTCTAGTTTTTTTCTAGTTGACAATTCTCCCTTTACTATTTGTTAGGTGTGAGCCATTTTCCACGTATCCACGTGCATATGATTTGCTGCATGCTTTTCATTTATTTTCTCATTATAAAGACCGTGTGCAAGGATGCCAATTGGAAGATATCTTACTGGAAATGGATCGTATCCTTCGTCCTCAGGTACTATACTTATTTCTAACTCATATCCTTTGATTGAAGCAATATATTATAGGAAAACATGGGAGGCTTATCCGAAATGATTTTGTCTTCACTTTTGGTTATTTCTGCTTACGTAATGGTAAAGTTAAAGGCTAAGACACTTGGAGACTTGTCATACTGATGTCAATATGACACTGACAACGACGCAGTATGTACTTTAAGATATTTGAAACTTTACAATGAAATAGGAACATGTAATAAATGGCATATAGATCCATTCAATGGGATACTATGTATCTAAACTTGTGATGTATGGATAAAAATATATCAACTTGATCAATGTTCGATTGAGCGCCGTGGGCCGAGTACTCTTCAAGCTAAATAATGTGAAAAAAAGTTTAAAAATCAAAAGAAAAGAAGGAAATATAGTTTTAAAGTAAGATTAAACAAAACACATCTAAATGAGGTTAAAAAAGTAGTAAAAAATAGATTTTAAAAAAACAATGTGACTGGGGTATTTTCGAAATAAAAAACAAAGATGGGAAAATGTAAAACTAAGTATTTACTTTCCAATCATTGCCAAAATGATAGAACACATAATGATGTCTTTAGAAAGAGAGAAAGAGAAACACGGGTAGAGAGAGAAAGGGAGGTGGGGTTTAAAAATGATGCATTTTTTAAATTTGTTTGGGCTAAAAAGATGGGATAAAAATGAGTAAATTTGGTTTGGGGCGTCAGAAGATATAATAGATAGAATGTTTATGCCTTCATATAAGTTTTGAAACCTTTGGTCTATGGAGAAATAAAACTTAAAAATAGGGTCTACGGAGATATTTTCTCTTATCTATATATGGGTAGTGATTTCATGCAACGGTTGTATCATAGTATAATGCAACAATCTTCAAAAATCATGTTAGGGCCATTCGTTTGATCCAAATTTTAGAATATACACTCTTTTCATTCTAATGAACAACCACAAAAAAGAAAAATTTAACAACACAACTTAGAAAGTATTTTTTTAGCCTAATTAACATAGGCCGTCCATTTTGATAAGATGCTTAGATCTAGGTCTTAGAAGGATTTTTCTTTTCCAATTTTTTTAGATGACTTTATTATCATTAGATGAACAATGTTAAAAAATAAAAAAATGACTTTGAAGGCTAAGATCTTGAATTTCACCAAATGAATGGCCTAGATTCATTGTTGGAAGGGACTCTTTTGATCATATCTAGGGTTCAAATTGATTTTTTTTTTTTTGGGATTCATTATTGAGATGAGGACAGTGTGTGTACAAAGTTTTGGGTCATACAAATTCTACAAACATGGTTTTCTAGAAGTGCGGTTTCATTATACTATTATACAACCGTTGCATCACTGCCCTATATATATATATATATATATATATATATATA